GATAGCTCGGGGGTCCTGAAATTTACAATTTAAGTAAAGCCCCTGATGATCTTTCTTTCCATGCAGAGAAAGTGACTATAGTACCTCTGAGTCTGGAGAAGAATATTTTTGAAATATTGGTTAAATTTCCCTTTGGGGCCATGCTGTGGCCCCAGGGGTTGGGGTAGGAGTCCCAATTTTAAAATTTTGTAGCCTCATCTACCAAGGATGATTCTGACAAAGTTTGAAAAAAATCCATTCGCTGGTTCTTGAGAAGAAGTTGAAAATGTAAAAAGTTTACGGACGATGGACGACGGAAAACGACGGACGAAAAACGATTAGAATAGGTCACTTGAGCAAAGCTCAGGTGACCTAAAAACGTAATGAAGATGAAATAATAGTGTAGTCATAATACAATAAGAAATAAAATAATGAAATAAGCAAGACAGGCCAAGTTGGAAGGATAGCTTGCACGGCTGCCAGCCAGCAAATGCGTGTTTTGAGCAATGGGTAATGGTATGTCTTCATTCAACAAGAATTTTGTATATACTGGAGAGGTGTAAATACTGAGGTATGTCATTAAACGATGTAATTACCTGCGTCCATATGATGCGAATGTGATGATGATAATGATGATGACAACAACGACAATGATGCTGATGATATGTTGGTAAGGATGATCAATGCTGCTAGATGATGGTGTATGGCGATGATTATGATGGTGGCAATATTTTGTTGTTGACGATAATGATGACTAAGTGTTATTTTGAGCGTGTTGATGTGAGTGTGAGAGAATGTGTTATTTTTTGTAAATGTAAAATATAACTGTGAAAAAAAATAATATATATATATATATAGATATATATATGATCGGGTATGTATAGCATGGCATCAAAAGGTGGCTGCCTCCAAGGATGTCCTCTGGGTCCATTTTCAGTCAGTCTGTGTTTGTGGGGTAGATATATAAGATAGACTGGTAGACTATGTTCCAGGTTCTCAATTGAAATTAAAAAAAAAAATCACTAATGTAAACAATACCCTATAACTATTTTGTAAAGACTAACGAAGATGAGACATCCAAGAAATTCAAGTGGGATTTTTTTGATGGAGTGTGGTCATGGAAAGCCAGCTGTTTTTTTTATATTACTGACTTAAAACATACAAAATACATATTAATGGAATACTTAGTGTCTCCACAATTATAATTTGAAACATCTACAAAAATCAATCATGATTGTGTGTACTTATGACATCAAATATTGGGGTACCCCCTAATTTTCAGGCAAAAACACCAATACAGGCCCTTTCTGACTTTTCTTTACAAACTCTAAATTAGTAATATCGGTTTCTGAAGTGATTTCACCTGAACATTAAAATTGCAAAGTTTGAATAAACCCATGCGTGGGCAGATTAAGAACCCCACCTTTCATTTTCTAAACGTTTAACGTTTGATCGGTCCGTTAAAAGTTACAGCCTATTGTTAAACAATAAACATAAGCTCTGAAGAGCTAAATTTAGGAGAGAGAAATCATTAATAAATATGATTAAAATACACAGAAAATTATAAACAAACAAAAAACAAAATATCACAGCATGCATGTTAAATAAAAATAAAAGTAGTACTTGTTAGAAAGCAACAGCAATACCTACCTACCTACCTATATATCACAGCACGCACAAACACATTTAGCACTTAAACAGGAAGCATTTAAAAGGCACGGATGCTTAATATACTAAAATGCCAATATGGAAAATATAAAGATTACCAGAATATATGCTAAAATAGCATATGTTAAAAGAAAAAACAATCATATATTAAGATAAGAGAAAAACTAAACATAAATTGAAGTAAAAACCATAAAAGTTAAACATTTACTCCACACAGATATCACAACCACATTTAGTAGTTACCACATCAGTCAGGATGTTCGAGTCAGTGTTACAGGGGATAATTTCTATAATGGAATTTGGAAAAAAAAAATGTGGTTGTATTGAATTAAACGAAAAATGGACTGTAATTATACATTTACCAGAGCACCCGCGTAGTGTGTCCGAGTTAGCCCAATGTCCACTGGTAAGGCACGTGATAGGGCCGCCGATAAAGTCAAGGTTTCCTTGGTTACAATAATAAATGACCACAGTGCCTGCTCGGGTGTAGTCCCCTCCGTCTTCAGCTACCGTGGTCCTCACGTGGGCCCCATTGATTCTTGGAGGGAAGCCACAACCTGCCATAGATACCAATATGCTTAAAGAACGACAGACACATATAGATTCAGGAAATGGCACTTGGGAGAGGGGTGAAAAGAACATGTTTCTGTTTCCTTGTCAAAGCAGAGGACCAAAAACAGAAACGTCTGTTCTCTCAACTACTACATGAGTAAGGCAACCATGTACGAAAAACGTGTGGTAAGCTTCAGCTGAAGAAAAAACAACATGGAAAGGAACATCACTTTAATACCGTGAAGCAACACATGTGTTGAAACTTATGCATGAACAAAAGCCGGGTGAGATGTTTTTACAGCAGATTTTATCATAGATCCCAGTAAGGCCTTGGCGTCCACTATCGCACCATATTCATAGGTCCTAATTATAATTAATATTTTCTCTAATTTTCTTATATGTTTGATTGAGTCTTGTAAACAGTAACAAAATTACGGTAACGTTGTATACAGTGATAAAGTATGATGACGCTATCCTATCAAATTACGGTAACGTTGTATACATTGATAAAGTACTGTTATACAATGTGTTAACATTATACTTTGTTGTTTTACGAAGTGTTAATATTATACTTTGCTGTTATACAGTATTAACATTGTACTTTGCTGTTATACAATGTGATAACATTGTACTATGCTGTTATACAACGTGTTGATATTGTACTTTGCTGTTATACAATTGTTAACATTGTACTTTGCTGTTATACAATGTGTTAATATTATACTTTGCTGTTATACAGTGTTAACATTATACTTTGCTGTTATACAATGTTTACACCTTATACTTTGTTGTTATGTTAACACGTTATTCTTTATTGTTATACAATGTTTACACAATATTCTTTGCTGTTATACAATGTCTACATAGGATACTTTGCTGTTATACAATGTTAACACATTATACTTTGTTGTTATGTCTACACGTTATTCTTTATTGTTATACAATGTTTACAAGGATACTTTGCTGTTATACAATGTTAACACAGGATACTTTGTTGTTATACAATGTTTACGTTATTCTTTATTGTTATACAATGTTTACGCAATATTCTTTGCTGTTATACAATGTCTACATAAGATACTTTGCTGTTATACAATGTCTACATAGTCTACTTTGCTGTTATACAATGTCTACATACGATACTTTGCTGTTATACAATGTTAACACAGGATACTTTGTTGTTATACAATGTTTACGTTATTCTTTATTGTTATACAATGTTTACACGGGATACTTTGTTGTTATACAATGTTTACACATGATACTTTGTTGTTATACAATGTTTACACAGGATACTCTGTTGTTATACAATGTTTACACAGGATACTCTGTTGTTATACAATGTTTACACAGGATACTCTGTTGTTATACAATGTTTACACAGGATACTCTGCTGTTATACAATGTCTACATAGTCTACTTTGCTGTTATACAATGTCTACATAGTCTACTTTGCTGTTATACAATGTCTACATAGTCTACTTTGCTGTTATACAATGTCTACATACGATACTTTGCTGTTATACAATGTTAACACATTATACTTTGTTGTTATGTTTACGAAGTGTTAATATTATACTTTGCTGTTATACAGTGTTAACATTATACTTTGCTGTTATACAATGTTTACACCTTATACTTTGTTGTTATGTTAACACGTTATTCTTTATTGTTATACAATGTTTACACGGGATACTTTGTTGTTATACAATGTTTACACAGGATACTCTGTTGTTATACAATGTTTACACAGGATACTCTGCTGTTATACAATGTCTACATAGTCTACTTTGCTGTTATACAATGTCTACATACGATACTTTGCTGTTATACAATGTTAACACATTATACTTTGGTGTTATGTTTACACGTTATTCTTTATTGTTATACAATGTCTACATAGGATACTTTGGTGTTATACAATGTCTACATAGGATACTTTGTTGTTATACAATGTTTACGTTATTCTTTATTGTTATACAATGTTTACACAGCATACTTTGTTGTTATACAATGTTTACACGTTATTCTTTATTGTTATACAATGTTTACACAGCATACTTTGTTGTTATACAATGTTTACACGTTATACTTTATTGTTATACAATGTTTACACAGGATACTTTGCTGTTATACAATGTGAACACAGGATACTTTGTTGTTATACAATGTTTACACATGATACTTTGTTGTTATACAATGTTTACACGTTATACTTTATTGTTATACAATGTTTACACAGGATACTTTGCTGTTATACAATGTGAACACAGGATACTTTGTTGTTATACAATGTTGATATTGTACTTTGCTGTTATACAATTGTTAACATTGTACTTTGCCGTTATACAATGTGTTAATATTATACTTTGCTGTTATACAGTGTTAACATTATACTTTGCTGTTATACAATGTTTACACCTTATACTTTGTTGTTATGTTAACACGTTATTCTTTATTGTTATACAATGTTTACACAAGATACTTTGTTGTTATACAATGTTTACACAGGATACTTTGTTGTTACACAATGTTTACACAGGATACTTTGTTGTTATACAGTGTTTACACAGGATACTTTGTTGTTATACAATGTTTACACAGGATACTCTGTTGTTATACAATGTTTACACAGGATACTCTGCTGTTATACAATGTCTACATAGTCTACTTTGCTGTTATACAATGTCTACATAGTCTACTTTGCTGTTATACAATGTCTACATAGTCTACTTTGCTGTTATACAATGTCTACATACGATACTTTGCTGTTATACAATGTTAACACAGGATACTTTGTTGCTATACAATGTTTACACAGGATACTTTGTTGTTATACAATGTTTACACATTATACTTTGCTGTTATACAAATTTTACACAGGATACTTTGTTGTTGTTAACACAGTATACTTTGTTGTTATATCCATGAGTCACAACAATTGTATTCCCAGAAGTCAACATAGCATAATGAAGTAACAAGTTCAAGTCTAAAGTTTTTTTATTTCCGAATGCAGTATATCTTACAGGTATACCAAAACGATATTAATTTTCAGGATGGCTTAGGAAGATTCCATGTCGGCATTTATCACACAAAAATGACTGCATACTTCAGCAATATTACTGCACGAGGGTTAACACGAATCGTATTCTGCTTTACTGTTAAATGCATCAACCTGGAAACTGATTGAAATAACTATTTACACAGTTTCTTTTTTTCTTAAATTATCTTCTGACACGGGTTCAGCAACGATCCTTATCTTACGCTTCTTCACATTTCACATATGCATTACATTTATTGGCACGATTAAAAACTCTAATATGATGGTCCCTTACGTTGCTGATGAGGTGCTTTTATTTATCAAAAAGTGACTGTCTAATGTACTTAGTTTGATACTGTTGTGTCTTACGACTTGTAGTAAATATTAATCACTCGTACATAGTCACCAAAGGGCTAAATGTCTGTAAATGGATCTCTCTTGTATTGTGTTTAAATCATAATTGCAATAGTGAAATATTGTATATGAACACATCGACGTTGTTGGTGAAAATCACGTTGAGAGAATCACGTTAATGGTTCCTGTTCTACTGTAGGCAAATATAAGGTCATCTCTATCACCAAGTCTGCGTCATCGTATCACAATCATTCATATGAAATAATCCAAATCATGAATAAAGAAAACGAAAATATCTTTTCCCGGAAGTTCAAAAAGAATGTTAAAGAAACAATTCATAATACACATGATTCACAAATAACCCAACATTCACAGGAATCAGACGTCGATATCGAAATATCTAAAGGAACTCGAAGCGTAAGATGAATCGCTACGGTTAAAGATGTAATCCGGCGAAACGTTGTAGCCGAACAGTTCACAGTCAGGCCGTACCACTTCTCGGAGTTTTACCAGGTCTTCCATGGGAACCTGTCGGTATGCCTCTACCAGAGCCTCCATTTTCTGCTTACGGGTCGCTGCTCGGTCGGTTTCACTTTTGAAAGCTTTTGTCCAAGCGTCCGTAAGTTGTGTTCTATTTACACCTGCAGCTTCTGACTCTGTAAACGGTAATCTAGATTGTTTTGATAAAATTCCTCGAATTTGAAGAGTCATCCATATTTTCTGCATGCCGCTATGAAATGAAATGCACTGTTCCATATCTTTTCGCATGCTGTATAGACGGCCGGTATGTGATATTGCCCGCTGTAAAGCTGTGTCAACCTCAAAATCATCATATGTTATATTTATACCGTATCTTTTGTTCCAAGCGTTCAGCAGAATAAGGGAATCGTTCGCAAATGTTTCCATCTTCCCTATAAAGTCGTAAGGTATCTGACACGGTCGACAGTGCTCGTAGATTGGCGTGAAGTGCCTATCGGTGTGTACTCCTGTTCTCTCCGATTCGATGACGTATTTTATAAATTGAGGAAACGTTATACCATGTCCACACTTAGTCGGGCGTTTACTTTCAGGTTTCAAAATGTTGTTTTTAATGTACGTACCTGTATCCTTCCAGTACAATGTATTTACAGTGAAGAGTTTATCGACATATCCGGAAAACAGCCTACTATATGGCTCACGAGTAAACATCATCTTAAACGAGCTGGAAAGCATATAATGGAATTCTGTTAAGTCTGTATCCTTTTCCTTATTAGACATCATCGATCGGGTGTCGACATTTTTCACTCCATCTCTATCAACACGGCGCATAAGACTTTGTAAAAATGTTGATCCAGTTTTTTGAACCGGACAATAGACGAGATGGTGCTTCTGGTCGATCACCAGGCTTTTCGCCACGATAGATCCTTTTGACTTCCCGTAATAGCCGTGTGTACTTCTGTCACAGACATGTTCCAGAGTCCTCCTTCTGTCCTCGTGGAGCTCTCCGAAGTTGTAATGTTTCTGAAAATTCTATAAAACAACGTAGTTAATGAAAAATTAAACTAGTATTAAAGCAATTATTTAATTTTAATTGCAGAAAATTATTAAAGGCTATTTATTGATCGTCTTAAACCAAACCAGTGCGAAAACTAAAACCGAACTTAGATTTTACTTCTATCTCAATGTAAAGACATTCTTTAACCATCAAATCATTTTGATGAAACCGCTATCATATGGTTATGTCCTTTTTAATTGAGAGATATTGAAATTGAAACATTTCAACAACGTAACGGACGCCCGGATGAAAGGACAAAGTCATCTGAGTGAAGGAGTCAACGCCCATCCTCAGACATTTCTTAACAAAGAACACACACGTGTAAATAATTTGCAATACCGCTGAACGTAACGGATATTTCCTAGACCGAAAAAAAGATGATTTCGCATACAAACATAATACCACTTTCTAAATGTTCTCTATTCTCGTGCTTTTAAACTTGAACAATAGTCCGTTAGAAACATACCAAACACGATCGATTTTCTCCATTACAACATTTAATTAAATGTAAATCACTGCCTCCGCAAGGGATCGAGCCCGGGACCTCAGTCTTACGAGTCTTACGCTCAACCGATCGATCTAAAAGATGTTCTAAATAGCCGAGCGATATATTGCGGCTAGTATTTACCAGGGTTACATACCAGATCAAGAAAATATAAATATATAACGTCAAGAGGCTGTGTAACTGGAAACGAAAACAAGAGGCCCAGATGGCCTGTATCGCTAACCTGAATAATAAAGCAACCATGGAAAATTATTCTTATTAAATACAATACTGCAACTATTTCCAAATATTGGCTATGTCTCTCAGCAACACCCGCCCTTCATTAGGTCTTTTCTTTCTGCCCCCAATTTTCGGATAGCCACACCCTCCGTTTATGCAAAATTGAGTCCACTTCGCCCAAGGATGCTCCAGACTAAATTTGAATAAAATCCCTCCAAAATCAATGAAGCTGTTCAGGACTGGTCAAAGGTTAATCATAAGGCCAAATTATGTTTATCTTAACAAAGTTGGTCAGAATTTATTCGGGATCTGCGTATGCAATTAGTAATCATGATGTCCATCTGTCTATCTGTCCTCTGTCCGTCTGTTTGTCTGTTACCACTTGGAGATTATTTCAGGAACCAGAAGTTCAAACTGAAATTTCACCTGGTAATACATTGTGATACAGATATGCTATAGATTTTTTCAATCCTTATATCAATGCAAGGACTTTTCTAAAATAGACAAAAGACAAAATACCAAAGGAACATGATTTCTCCCAAAGACCAAGATGGTCTTTGTAGCTATTGCTTGGTTCTTAAATGGGGAATATATAGTTGGAGGAGAAAGGAGCAGAATGCAAACAGGGATAATTATATATATATATATAATCTAGTGTTTCTCCAGGCATATTTCTTATGTAGAGTCTTTAGAATTATTAGCTAAAGGTACCACATCTGAGTTCCAAATTGATGAAATAGACAACAATGGTGCGGTAGCCAGATTTATCTTCATTGTTTTGTTAGTGTTCTAGGTTAGTATATATACTTAAGTTATGCAGTACTTTTGCATTGGGGAAGAATGATACTTTGTTTTTCCCTCATAAATGTTTCACTCGAGCTTGGTCGTTGTGAGTTGTGTTTCCCTACAAGGCCACTAAATGTATAATATGAGGGAGGGGTTATAATGTGGTTCAATTGTCTGTCGATGCATATATCTGTCTGTAGACAAAATAAATATGAATAAGAACATGAATTGGTACCTCCTCCTAAAACACTGCACCAATTTTAATCATACTTGGTACACATAATACTTAAATTAAGGGGGGAGGGGGTGATAAAGTATGCAAATGGATTAAGTTGTACCCCTTTAAAAGCATAATTTGTACAATTAAAGAACAAATACTTCATCAATTTCAATGATACTTGGTATATCTAATGCTTACATTGATCATGATTATTCGAGAATATTGAACAGAGAACTTTAGCCTCCAAATTTATGGAATTATGACCCTTAGTTGATATACATTGCTTGAGCTACTCATTCTTAAATAATGTCCCCCCCCCCCCCAATAACCACGGAGTTATGATGCATGGGCATGGGGACTAAGTGTTTGGATCAAATCAGAGAACGGTTGAGACCTCAACTCTTCGACCATATCAGTGTTGACTCGGCATTCAAGGACGAGTACACTCATGCTTTTATGATAGCCTGCTGGTTATGCTGATCTCTTAGGATTTAGTCTCTTGGTCATTGCATTTGTATGGAAATGGTAGAGACAGCCAACCACTTATGTTATTGCTGGTCATGAAGATATGGATACACTTAGTCTACAACAAGTACTTTCAGGGTTCAGCCCCGCCACTTAGGCCTTATTACAGGTTTATAACATTGAAATACATGTATTTGATATTCCTGCAACCATACAACCAAACATGTGTGCTAACATGGCATAAAGAAACAAACACAATTATGGATGCACCCTTGGGTCGAGTCCTATTATTAGATATGTATTTGCCTAGAATGGCTTTTAATGAAAACGTTTTATCAAGATTGCTTTAATATCACAGCCATCTTATTTTTGTTAACAAAACATATGGAAAAGCAAAAAAGGAAATGATCACCGCAATGTAAGCACACATAAGTGATGACCAAATATGCAAAAAGCTGAGCAATCTTAAACGCCTCAGTTTTGTTAAGGATAAAACTGGCCAGACAAATGGTCACTGACATGTGACATATGTGGACAAATGTTCCAACAATGAATAACACTTCAATTCCATCCTACTTTATTATAATTATATGATAACTAGATGACAATATCACAAAACTGGCAAAGGAAGACATTACCCTGTCTGCCTATATATTTCATTTTATAATAAATAACATTCACTTATTATTACTGTAAAGGGCAATATCATATATATTATGTTTCGGTTAGCTTGTAATCATTATTATAATATACAGCATTTTATATAGCACCCTATCTAGCTAACGTAAGACACTCTAAGCGCTTTACAGTACATAGATATACAATTTTTACAACCAATATAATAAGCATGTGCCTTAATCAATACAATTTTGAGGAATTCACAGGGGCTGCCTTATCAGGCGATTACTACTAGTCCTATGCAACCTGTCTAATATCTTCCTATGTGTATATGCCTGCGTGTGTGCTGGAGATGAATTGTTTTCTGTTTGTAGTGGGACCGTGTTTCCAACGGTATCATTTATGGTGCCACCTCACTTAAATGTAACAGCACAGATACTGCAACACACACCCCAGACCATTGTATACCCCACCTGGGTTGTTGGAGTTGTGTAGGCAGGAGAAAAACATTTTCTCTGAATACTCCAAGCGGCCGCCTCTGTAAAAGGCCGGAGTGCTAACCACTCGACTAATCCGCCAAAAATACTTATTGAAACTTTATACTGCTCGGAAAACAGCAGGAGTTGTAGAAGAAAAAAAATTGAAGAAAAAACACTATTTGATATTTAAAACTAACGACCTGATATTTATTTTACAAATCTAAGAAAAAACGTGAATTCTTTTTGATACAGCGTTATTTTGTTTTACTTGTTAAGGCAGATATTAACTGCTATTTTTTATCTGTATTCTACACATGTATTCTATGATTCGGGACATTAAGTAAGACAGGGATATCTTTCATTATTTTGACCTTTCAATAACACTGATGAGTCATAAATGGGAGAAATGGCCACATGGCGCAGTACAATGTTTGTTTATCTGCATCTACAAACAATATTTTAAAAAGTGTTTCCTTTATTCGTATTTATAATTGTTATACAAAATAAACAAGTTGGGACCGTGAACAGTTTATAATTCTAAAGATATGACCGTTAAAACAACATACCCTTGCTTCTTCTCTAATGAGCTGCAATCTCAAACGTACCGTTAGACAATGAGCCATTTTGGAAAAATTGCAGTGCGTTTTTAAAATAACGAAATTATTTCAGAACTATTTGATAATTATAAGTTCCAAGCTTCTATGTGCGTTAACATGATATATTTTCACAAACTAATGGGAACAGGTACAGACTTAATGACACTCGATAATGGTGGTTTGCGTCCGTGCACACATACATGTACATGTCTCAAGCTGGAAAATTAAAATAGGACGGAAGATCGAACAAGACTGATTACTTGTAACACAATGGTATATGCAAGAACAAGCACAACCAAAAAACAGCAAGAAAGCAGATATTTACGAACTTTGGTAAGCGAAGTAGACAAATATAAAAAAAAAACTTATTGTTGTTAACAAAACAACTGATACCCACTACAAAAAAAAACCAATGGCGTACTAGTAGACGCGAACAGTAGGCAAACAAGAATATACATAACATCAATGGAAACACAGATATCGGTAATCACTGTAAACCAATAGAAACCTCTTACACCACCGGGAATCACAGACACACACTAGCCCGTCAAATCAAACAGACACAGAATATACAAACTATAGACACCAACTTACAGACTCGCACTCCCGACATTTCCAATGTACAAACAACACTAATAGAAAAGTAAGCATTATTTTACGTTTCAACGGACAACAAACATTTCGTTATATATAAATAAGAGAATGAGTTAAACTATTAGATAACAATTGATCTAGTAAGTGCCTTTCCCCATTGATCTTCCCACTTAATCTTTACAACGTTATTACATGTACTGTGTCATATGCTTACCCTTCGCAGGATCAATGGTGGGGCTGTAGATGATGACGGTTCAATGCTAGTGCTTGTACTTGTAGTAGTTTCGTCCAGAGCCCAGTATTGTCCAAACCCAGCACGGCTGGACCATTGTGACACTTTTCTCAAAATGGCTGGCCGATGGATAGTGTCACCTGTATGTGTAATTACGACAGATATGTTTGGAAATACCTCAAATATGACGTATTAATAACTACTGACCTGTCTGACGTAATTCATATCATTAAACGTCCATTGGGTTTTTGGAAAGATCCATCAACCTATTTAAACATCCCATTATATATCGACAATAGTAAAAGAAGAACGAAACATATATACTGTGGTCTGTTATCAGCAACGTCCTTTTGGATATAACGCTGATTGAATACTAAGTTGTGTAAAATGTGATTAAGTATCGTTTCCCGCTTTGTTTAGAATTTTTGCAGCATAATTATGCTCTTCTTTGTGATATAAATATATAATAACTTCACAATTTACGAATAAAACAGCATAATATCATTGGACCTTTTAAATCAGTTTTGCTTCATTTAAGAAACATATCCCAGTGTATTTAACACTGTAAGGGGGGATCAGGTCGCTACATGTATACGTATAAACTCCATTATTCTACATCAATTAAGAAAAAGGTTTAACTTCCACCTGGACACGAAAATTTACCTAGTAATCATTTTGGTTAGTTCCGAGTTTATTGAAAGGAATGGATAAAACAGTATGACATCTGATAGTAATTCGACCGCAATATTTTACGGCCGCTCAAGCTTAACTTTCATTACGTTTTACTTTTTAGGGTAAAATATTTCATTGATGGTATCTATGGAAAATTCCAAAGATTTTTGATAATTAAAAGATAAAAATAAAGGTTTCGAAATTTGTCTAAAATTAGCGGGAAAGTATCTGTTAACAATTACAAGTGCTTGTACTACTGTCTTGTTTAAAAATAAAATTATTGTATTTTAAACAAAAAATCGTCAGAATGGTATAATAATGAAATGATGTTTCCCGATAACGTTATCTTTCTGTACATAATATTTATTGTCCTACACACATCAGAATATGGCTTGGTCTAAATGAAATAAAGTAGCAAATAATCATTATTCAAAATATTCAAATGTTAGTTCAACAGTCCCAAAATAGTTACTCACCTTCGTACATGACAGCCATTGTGATCATAATTAAAATCAGCACTGTTACTTTGAGTTTTGATTTGTGAGATTTTAGAAAATACGCCATGGTTTCAAGGCAACCCGAATACGATAATTGTCCGTGAAAGTCAAGTGTCTTTGAGACGTGGATCAGAATGCTTATTTATCTTCCCTTCTAACGTAGGATAACGCGTCACATAGTAACTAAACAGGTGGCCAGACGAGAGATTTAAACAAAATAAATCGAACAAGATCGAACAAAGGTATGCTTGTAGAATAGTAAATTCTCTCAGTTTACGACGTATAGACTTGTCGACAGTAAAATCCAACATTTAACGATGTTTCGTTTACACCTGCAGACTACATCTACAATAAACTTCGTCACTTTTAAGCCAAGAGCACTTTTACATTAGAAAACTTTATCAAACGACATACATAATTGATGGCTATTCAATTTTCTCTTGTAAAGACGCAGTAGATATTATAAAGTGGAGGAAAGGTGTAATGACCTTATATAGATATATATATAGGTATAAACTGCTATCAGCCAATCAGGCCGCGGGTCTTACAATCAAAATCGTCACGGCGTCAACAAACCGAACGGTTGATTCAGCGTGTCACTCACTGTATCAGGACCGGTTCGTCGATTGGTTGATAGAACGTTTGAAGTCGGTGTCGTCCTTGATTTCAGAGATTTTTCAGAGATTGTTATTATCACTCAGGCACACTATTGTGCGCAACAAGAGGTCCTCATAAAGTACAATATAACAATGATATGGTTGACCGTAAAGCACTCATCTTACTATGCTTGCGTACAATAATATAGTGGAAACTATTACACTCCTCATACAATGATAAACACAATATTACACTGTACTATCATACCTTATTATAATAGACAATATAACACACTGCTCATACAATGACACTCATCATACACTGTGATATACATTATTACACTCATTTATCAATACTATTACGATGGTATAATACATAGCATTACATTCACAAATACCGTGCGTTCACACTGTGGTATAGCAGGCACTGTTGCATCCATCTTACAGTACAATCCTACAATAATGTTATTACAGTATTACACATATATTACTCGCACTCCATGATACATATATTATAGATAGTATACCACACCATACAGTGCAATCATACCATGGCATAATAGTGACTATCATACTCACCATACCATATAATATTACAAAGGTATAATAGACAGTGTTACAATCCCATCATACAATACTGTAATAGACAGATAACAAACAAACCATGATAAGCAAGCTGTAACCACACTCATTATGCAATACAATTATGTTAGGTTTAACTAATGATCAGTCATATCTATATGTATACAAAAGTTAACAGTTTGATGTGTGAAATTCACATATTATTTTTTAATTGTCTTTCTAGTAATTGTATGAACAGCGATAGATTTGATAATATTCTAACATTACATATAGATATTAATCCTTTCATTTTATGAACAGATAGATTAGAGTTGTAATAAATAGGTATATATTTTCTGCGGATTTGACTTACATAAGCATTTGAACATATAAACAAATAATGATACTCGCTTCCAACTCCAGTAAAACAAAGCGGACAGATTCTGCCTTCACGTGGTGTTCTAGTCCATCGCCCAGTCTCTATAGGCTGAGATATATTACTGGTTCTGAACTTACAGATAGTTATTCTATCTTTTTGTTTGAGCATAGTTAAGTATTTTTCAAGCTGAAATCGATGTTTAAATATTGCATATGTTTGACCCCGGGAAGAATTTTCAATATCAGTATATCATTGTTGTATAAATTGGTCATACAGAATAGTTTTAAAACTAACCCTAAGGTCATTTTTATTCATAGTGCAAGTTTTTTGTTGTAACCATACGTAACTTAGTCCCGTGCAATTGAATAGATTCTTGATATATGAAATCCATTTAAAATCAGCAAAATCATTTTCATGTAAATACAGCATAAGCTTGTAATTATACTAGAGAATTTATTTTCACCTGTAATTAGTTTATACCAAAACATTATCATTCTAGATTTAATTTCAATATTCAGAGGGTACCTACCCGTTTCACCATATACCATTATATTTGATGTGGAGCTACGTATGTTTGAAATTCTTTTACAAAACTGTACATGTAATTTCTCAATTATATTGGTATTTTCAAACCCCCAAATTTCTGAGGAGTACAAGAGGATTGGGGATATTAATACATCAAACAATTTCAACTGTAAGTTAATTGGTAAAATAATATTTCTATTTTTTTTATATAATGCATACATTGCTTTTTGAGCCTGTTCAACAAGTTTTTTTCTTGCTTTACAGAAACTGCCATTATAATGAAACAACAGTCCTATAAACGACTGTCATGTGTTTGCAACTCTTCACCAAAAAGAGTAAAACGAATAATTTGTGCATTACTTTTTCTTTTTTCAAAGATAACAACTTAAGTTTTAGTGAGATTAACTTTAAGTTTCCAAATAGTACAGTAAGTTTCAAATTCACGGAAAGCATTCTGTAGACCTTTGGCTGTTTCTGACATAACAACTGTGTCATCTGCATATAACAGAATAAATAATTTAACAAAATATACCCATGCGATCTTGAAATAAATTATCTATATAATGGTCAACATTATTTTGCATTAAAAATTCTTCTGAATCATTTAAATATATTGAGAACAAAAATGGGGAGAGATTTTCACCTTGTTTTACCCCGACGTGACATGTGAAAAAATCAGTCATACCATTGCTAGTTTTTACGCAAGATTTAGTGTTTGCATACAGATTAATTAAAGCATTAAATATCTTTCCTGTGATATTATTTTTTAATAATTTCTTCCATAAACCTACCCTCCAAACAGTATCAAACGCTTTTCTGAAATCGATGAATGAACAGAATAGCTTTTTACTTTTTGAAAAGTATATAGATATTAAAGCATGAAGGATAAATATATTTTCAGTTGTAGAA